TATTTATCAAAATTAAAAATAATCTTTCTCATCTCTCTTTCTCATTTTCACTCCCTCTCTCATCATCTATCCCTCCGACTACTCTCGCACAATTAGTGCCTGAGTTATGATTTTTCCTCTTCATTCTTGGAGCTCCAGCAAGCGAGGTCAGTACGCAGTGCTCAGTCGTTAAGCGCTATGGCAGCGATGTAAGTGCCTTGCAGCGACGATTCTAATGAGCTCCATCCCAGGCTAACCCAATCAGAAAATTGAGATTCCAACTTAATTTTAGATAAGGTCGACCTAGGAGAAGCCACCAATGATCCCAATTTGTCAGACTTCAGATTTGGTGTTAGGTAGATGCGATCTGGCTTTAGGTTAGTCGGTGTAAAGCGGCGTGAGCAGTACTATTGTCATTGCTACCCGACTGTCGTCGCTCATGGTAACCACGACTTTTGGTTGCCACACTGTGCCTTCGATTTGATGCTTTATTGGAGTTCTGACGTTGGTGATTTACTTGGTTGTTGGGTTGTTAGTGGTGATGGTGGTAGAGAGATAATGGTAGTTGTGGTGAAGTGTTACAGTGGTGGTTGTGGTGGAATGTTGATGGTAGATCAATGTCCATAGGTAGAGATGGTGGTGGTGTTTATGTCTTAGCCCATTGAGTTTTTGTGACCAAATCTAATGAATATGTGACCCGTCTAATTGTAAGGGTCACATGTCACAAATTCAAGAGATTTGATTACATACAATTGATCAGATCATAAGTCACATATCTAAGAGATTTGTTCACCTCCCATTGGATCAGGTCACGATCACATATAACATGGCATATGTTAAAGTGCATATGTCACAGGTCACAGATTTAAGAGATTTGGTTACATACCCAAGAGATTTGTTCACTGGCCATTACATTAGGTCACATGTCCAGTGCATAGGTCACAGGTTACGGATTCAAAAAATCTAGATACATGCCATTAGCTCAGGTCACATTTCACATATCCAAAAGATTTGGGACCAAGTCACAGGTCACATGTCAAAGTGTGTAAGTCACATGTCCCAAATTCGAGAGATTTGGTCACATGTCATTGATTTCTCCGACCTCAGTCGGTGGGGATTGGGTTCAAACTCAATTAACCAAATTTCAGCCATGAGAATTCAAGTTATATGCTCCAGTAAGTACACTGTAAATTATATCATGAGCTATTTTTCATTTTTCAATTTTCAATTTTAAAAAAGCATTTTAAATTATACCAACACTGGTTAGTCTCAGTCACCAACGAACTCAGTCATTGTTGAGCGTCGATTAGTTTGTCGTTGAGAAAAAGTCACCGATGGGATGGAGGTCGGGGAATGTCAATGGAGAGTAGATACCGACAAGTAAAGTGCGGATGGTTGGGGTGGGTGTGGGTAGATTAATTTAATTTGATAATATTGTTATTTAAAACTAAAACAAAATAAAAACCTGAATTTTGCATTTTGAAACTTAGTATATGAAAATTGATTTGCGTATACTTAACAACTGAGATATGATTTCTTCCCCTGTTGGAATCCAAGAAAAGCAAATGAGTTTGTAGAATTATACAAATGTATAATTTCTATCTAAACACAAAGCAGATTTTTGGTGGGAATCGAAATTTTGTTAAAGGTATGGTTGATTATAAACTAAAAAAATATAAGGAAAAAATGGAAAACAAAATGTTTTGATTTCACCTATTCACACATTATATAAATCGTAAATAGATATAAATGTAGACGTATAACATTAATATTTTTTTAAAGTATACACGTATCCTGGTAATATTATTGTTCACTGCTTGTTTTACGCAAACCAGATCATTAATCTATGAAGTCTGTGCTGTCAAAATACAACTGACAGTCTATTTTGATACCAACAACTGAATCTAACCAAATACAACTAGTAATCAATTTTAATGTGGTTCTGTTTCAAAAATTAGACTTGAAACTAACGATTCTATGTTTAGGATTTCAGTTTGTACTTGGTTTAGTTCAGTTTTCATAAGAACTACTCGGAATCGAACAATTCAACCCTACGTTAGATTTTGTAATATTAACTATTGATCACTATATTTTTTATTTTAGGTTTTCTCTTGAGGTGTGTTTTCCAATTTTTCGTTGAGTGGGTGGGAATTTTTTTTTTTTTTTCATATTATCTTGGTAAGCATGGGCACCTCTTTTCATTCATTGTGCCAAGTTATTTTGGTATGATCTTAATTATTGGTTGGCTTTGACTCTGAGTAATCCTTTATTAGTGGGATATATGATGATTATAAATAATAATTGTTTTAATGCAAGTTTATAAAAATCTTTTAGAATAAAAGTATATAAAAAATTATGACAATCTTTCATAATTCTATATAATCTAGAACAATTTTTGAATAAAAGTTCATCAACTCCACGGAATTTGTTAATAAATAAATCCACTGAAGGGCCCGCCAGTTGGAGGTGAATTTTCTCCAAAGGAAAAAAAAAAA